AAAGTCTTGGAAAAGTCATGGAAATGTAACTAAAGTTGCATCAAATATAATTTATATTTTAGCTAATCGCCGAAATAGTAATACAGGGTGTCCGCGGGGTCTTAAAAAGTATTAAAAGTCGATAAATCAATTAAGAAGTCCCACAGCAACGACAACATGAAACACCCTTTCATTTACTGAAACGACATGTCGGGAAACCCCCTCAATGCGACCCCATGCATAGCGCGCCGTAAAATGCCGCTTCTTATTTTAAGATTCGTTGCCTTGCTCCGCTCTGTGTGGGGGGGGGAGAACTAAACGACTACGGTAAAGGGTCCCAAGGTGGGTAGACCGGCATACGCAACGCTCTGGGGGTCCAACGGCTCCGTGTGTGCCCTATATGATCATTTTCTGATAACAATGAAATAGCCCGCCTCCCTCTCCCCACGTCTCCTGCTGCTGCTGGGCTGTCAGAAGAGGGGGAGGAAAAGAGAGGCAGTCACCGTTTATTAAATATTATTATACAGAGAACAGAGTCGTTATCAATTTGTTTTAAAGCTCAATAAATAACAAAGAAGACCTCTGATCGGCACTTTTCTAATTTTGTACGGAAGATTTAAACTTTAACGGACATGTTGACCGGCGGAACATTTTTTTAACGGAAACTGCCGCACGGTTCCCTCGTTCCTTGGAAGAGGCGGAGAGGTGGGTTTTTTTCATCTGCTGGTGGACTACCTGAGAGATACAGCAGGAGAACACGCCGTCCACCGCGGAGAATAAACAGAAGGGCAACCATGCTCCGGGGTCTTCTTCGCTGCTTTTGGTGTATTTCGGGCGGCAGCTGCGCCACTTACAGGCCTGGTATATGTGCTCCATCGTTTCCAGCATTTCCAGCGGTCTAGTGTGAACGGACACNCACCTTGCAGCAGACCCGCCCTGTTCAGAGGACTGTCCATCCTCGCGCCGCGCTGGAAGAAGAGACACTTCAGTTATCCTAAAACATCTCACAGATGTCACACAATAAACGGTCATAATAGCCGATTCATGGTTATCGCAGCTTGAATAAAAAAAAAACATAACACAGCTAGCAACTATTATTTTTCCACTTTTATCAGTAAGCAACACTAAAACCAAATCCATTAACTTCTGAAACATATGGACGAATACTAACCACTCACAGCTAATAAAACATGCCTTCAAAGAGCACTGAATATGATGTAGAAAACACAGACAATTGTATTATCAATTGAAACTACCAAATTTGGTGCATCATCTTCTCTGTATGACTTGGAACTGGTTTTTAAAATCAGTTTTTGGTCATATGAGCTATCATTTCTTATCTTTTCTTATCTCGTCTTTTAAAGCACTTGGTAACTTCGTGTTAGTGCTGTATAAATACAACTCATTATCAATGTTATAGTCATCTTAAGCTGCTTTCAGGGTTCATACACTTTCACCAGTGCTTCTCTATAACCTTTACTTAATTTTCCATGACCAAAAAAATTACTCTTCTCAGCGGTACCACTGAAAATGGTTTATTTGAACATGGAACAGGAAAATAAGGTCTGAAACATGTTGGTCCTATCTAAAACAAATCAAATAGTAGGCTTACTAGCTTCTACACGCTAAAGCAACTCAAATCTCTCACCAGCAAAACACCTCGTTAGTTAAATGCCATTTACGTTTCATTACGATACAGTATTTATTATTATTATTATAGTATTACTATTTCGGCAATTAGCTAAAATATAAATTATATTTGATGCAACTTTAGTTACATTTCCATGACTTTGGGGAAAATATTGTTTTCCATAACTTTCCCAGGGCCTGGAATTAGCATTTTGAATTTCCATGACTTTTCCAGTTTTTTAATGACCGTAAGAACCCTGAGCTTTATATAGAAGTATCAGCTTAACACTTTTTAAGTAGAATAGGCCATGATTGAACACATCATTCATGCATAACTACATTCTAGTATCCTTAAGGGGATCTCTGCTCAAATTCTAGATACAGTCAGTGATACAAAAATACAAAAATTCAAAAGGAAAGGTTATCTGACTGTAGGTCACACAGACACAAGTGGAGAATGCAGATGTTCAGTGTAATGAGTGCTTACCTGGTGTGTGATGTCTGGCCTGATATGTCCTGGATTTCTTCCACTTTTGACAATGATATTTTTGTGTTGGTCACAGTTTAGCAGCTCAAAGGTTTTTCCAACCTGGGAGAAAAAACAAAACAGGTTTTCATTATAGCAGTGAGCCTCAGTTTAAAGGTATATGATGTCACTTCCACTTGTAGCAGGTCTGATCACAACACACACACACACACACACACAAACTCACACACACACACCAACACACACACCTTCACTGTCTCTAACGACGCTCCCTCCAGGATGACCACCAGCCTCCTGTCCGCCATGCGGTCGTGCAAACTGCGGAGATGTTTGGCTGGTTTTGGCTCATATTCGTCCAAATGTTCCAGACCACGCTTCTTCTCGTTAGGAGCCGCCATGATGCCGGGTTCAGAATGTCGCGCGATGTGTGCGTCACGGCATGAGTGCGCGTTCACGAGTGGGTGCAAAATGCCCATTTCGGATTCACACTTGTAACACTTTCTACGTAGAAAAGTAATTTATATATATTTATATATTTTGTAATAACTAATTCGACAAATAAATTAGCTTTTTAATATTTGTGTACATACATTTAAATTGACCAAAAGAAAACCAACATTTCCAAATTATTTCTAATGGATATTTAATTATATTACACTTATCTTGTCTCGGTAAGAACATCGAAAAGTTGAAAAATAAATACATTGAAAAATATCTGATTATTGCTGTTAATTAATTGTTATGCTATGTCCCCAAAATGTGTTTATTTCTTCCTCTTTTGTATTTTAATTGGATGTTAAAAGATTGCAGAACCCCTACAACATGTTTGATGTCCTTCTGTCATAACTGTAATTCCCTGTCACTTTGTTGATTTGTGTTTCTTGTTCTTTTGAATGTCTGTTTGGCATTGCTTTTGTCGGGACCCCCTTGAAAACTAGCTGGTGCATCTCAAGGGGTTTATGATCCTATACATTTCAAACATTTGACTTATCAATAAAAGTGAACAAAATTACCGTTTTTATCCAGTACTGGTGGTTCTTATGAGACATTTAGCACTGTAGTATTTAGTTACAGTGAAAAGGAAAAGAAAGACAAATTAAAAACACACCTACATTTTTTTGAATACGTATTTTAGGTTATATCTTTATCATTTCCCTTGTTTGGTTTATTTAATTGAAAGAAACGACATATAACTACACTAAAGTATCTTTAAAATAAAAAACTAATACAAAGTAATAAATACAATAATAATAAATTAATAATAATACAAAAATTACAAAAATGTTAATAAAAAAACATAAAATAAATGAATAAACACAATTAATACTTTTTTAAATGAATACTTAAAATATTAAAGTAAAAATAATAATTATACAAATACAAAAAATACAATAAAAATTACAATAAAGAAAACAAATATTTATTGTAGCTTTACTACATTTTTAGTTCTATACAAATACAATAACATTTGATAATTTGCATTAAAGTGTGTCCTCGATGGTTTCCGTGTGCGCGCATGTTCGCCATCGCCATCATCGTTACGTCAGTTGTGTGTGCCGGATGTTCCTCTACAACGTGTTGAAGAAAAACTCACGTGTGTGTTTTTACCTTACACCGTACACTCAATAATTGGATCAAAAAGGAACATATTCAGCGGTGAGTATGAGGGAAAGTGTAGTTGAGTACATTAGGGAACATTACTGCGGTCTGTGTTTATAACCGAGGTCTAAATGATGTTTTGTGAACACGAGGTGCGACGTTTAGTCCACTAACGCTAATGTGTCTAAACTGCTTTTTCTGTCATTAACATGTCACTGCTGAAGTGCAAGAGCATTTGAATGTGTATGTGTATTATATTTAATGTAGCTATGTCGCCTGCAATGTTATTTTTGATGCATATGGAATATTATAACTAGTGAAAATGTGTATCTTTGGCAGAGGAGGGAGAAGTACTCAGATCTTGTACTTGAGTAAAAGTAGAAGTACTCAGATCTTGTTCTTGAGTACAAGTAGAAGAACCAGAGTGTAGGAATACGTCCTGCATTCAAAATGTTCCTCAAGTAAAAGTAGAAAAGTATTATCATCAAAATCTAGTAAAAGTAGTCATTGTGCAGATTGGTCCATTTCAGAATAATATATATGATATGTTTTATAATGATTGATCATGAAAGTGTTCTCAAAGCTGGTAAAGGTGCAGCTAGTTTGAATGACTTTGTATATTCAAGTCTGATTTAACACGTGATTATTGATAAAGGTAGTGGAGTAAAAGTACACTATTTACCTCTGAATTGTAGTGGAGTAGAAGTACAAAGTAGCATAACATGGAAATACTGAAGTGAAGTACAAGTACCTCATTTGTACTTAAGTAAATCTACTTAGTTACTTCCCACCTCTGCATATGAAATACCAAAGTTGGTTAAAATGTGTATCTTTGGTAAACTGTGTAACGTTAATATGCTCATAATATCAAAGTCGGCCTCATTGCAAAAAGAATGATGCTCTTGTACGAGCTCCATTATAATGTTGTCAACGTAGAGCCAATTATAACTATCTTCTTAATTGAAAACAATGTGTGTTAAACTGAGATTTAGATTTAATGTCTTGACCTGCAAAGTCACATTTGTGTAGTTTCTAGTTAGATTAGCATGAAGGAAAATGCCCTAAACAATCCCCCCATGTATGCGTAGGAATATTTAACATCTTTGCAGCATAACGTCGTCTATGCGTGCCACAGACAGGCGATGAAACGTGGAATATGAAACGTTACTTTCTTCTTGATTTCAGATCGTCAGTGTCATTTGGAGTCATGGGTCGTAAATTGGATCCCACCACCCACGTGAAGAAAGGGCCGGGGAGGAAATCCAGGAAGCAGAAAGGAGCGGAGATAGAGTTGGCCAGTTTCATACCTGAGGGTGATTACCAGCTGATGATAAAGATGGATAACGTTTAACTTCAACTGCTTCATCTTAATGACTGCATCGCTATGTTTCTAAAAGTGTTTCATTTCTGTTTCCAGAGGAAGCAACAGCGAAACGTCTGTCAAGCAGAAGCAGGAAGAGGTATGAGGTGGACTTATTCTGAACATTAATGAACTTTAGTCGTTTCCAAGTTTCTAATTCCTGTTGTCTTTTCACAGAGCGGCAAAACGAGTCCTGAGTAAGAAAGCGCCGAAAGATGCTGCTAAGGAAAAACCAAAGAAAGGTAAGCACACCAGTCTCTGTGCACGTGAGGTTTTCTCTAGAAAATAACAATTTAAAGTAGGGGTGCACCGAATGGGAAATTCTTGGCCGAAACCGAAAATAGGAAACAGTTGGCCGAAAATGATTAATAGAAATATATATGTATATAATGTATACATTTTTTACCAATGTTGTTCAGCTACCTGATTATGGAAAAAGACATGATTATGGCAAAACTTAACTTAACTTAACTTAACTTAACTTAACTTAACTTAACTTAACTTAACTTAACTTAACTTAACTTAACTTAACTTAAATAATAATCACTATTATGGGTCCATAAAACATTTATTCAGCACTTTTTGAATGCATACAGTACATTAATTCCAAGTCAAGTGCATTTTCTTTTCTCTGTAGGATAACTACAACAAAGTGCATTCAGAACAAAGCCAAGGTGCTTTAAAACTGCATAAACATCTAGGCCAGTAGGCCTACAACTAAATAGTGGTAAACTACAGAGACTGTAACAGCCCAGGCCTTCAACAACAACAAATGCAACCTATGTACAGTTTGGTAACCCTAACGTGTCTGTTGTGATGACGTACATCAAAACGCGGCGACAAGCACGGCGCGCGACCCATGCGCGGCTGGCTCAGCAGCAACATGTCTCGGCCGCTCTGAGATTATCTTTCAAAAATATCAGAAGAAAGAGGCCGCGGATCCGCGATTTTGGTAAAACGTGTTCAGATGACATTTCTCGAGGGGCGTGTATGCCAAAGCACTTTCACCCTTCGGGATTTACTCCACCACTCTGAAATCAAAACACCCGTGTACAAAATACAGTCGGAAGCTACCTGATTCAACGTAACCCTGTTCCTCTGACAAATTCGGTGATACTACAGGGCCTTCATCATATAAACCATTTTGGCCGATATAATTAAATTCGAGGGGCCCGAACATACGGTGCATCCCTAATTTAAAGGCCGGACCTATTCAAAGCCAAAATGCACACTTTTTGGTGTCCCAGTGGGTGTCAAGGGAACCTTCACGCAGCGTCAGAAAATAAACACCCTCTCCGTCTTGTTCCTCTACTCCGTCACCAAATCTCTAAAAAATCGGCGGGAACAACGGACTGCGATCCAATTTTGCCGTCCGATATGACGTAACATCGAATGGTGACCCTCGGCCCTATCAGAAAGTTGCTATCGAGAAAAATAACCCGACTGTCTTTGGACGTAATTATGGTCGGTGTTCAAATTAGGCTCCGCCTAAACCAATCATCAGCAAGCTAACCTGTACTGGAGACGCGCATCGTGCTGTGTGAAAGAGCCGGAACGTAAAGGAACCCTCCACCTTGCTGGTATACCGCCACCGGCAAGAGAAGAAACGCCTTTGAGCTTCCATACTGTTTCAAAGAGATAATCCTGATAATCCCATGATATGTGGTTCATCACGGCAGTATTAGTTTAGTCAGTAAGCTGCGGTCCCCGCATGAACTCAGACCCTCCTTTTTTTTTTGTATAACTCCCCGCTTTATGCTATTTTTTGTTAAAGCTTTATACCAACATCAGCACTTTTGGAAACACAGGAAGCGACAATAACGATACTGAGGGCCAATGGCTAGAATGGGTGTCTGTTTGGTATTTTTGAGCAAATACACTTAATAGGACACTGTTTTCTTTATATTGTGGTATACCCTATCTGAGCCTATTGCTATTGCCTGCACATAGCATTGGATAGGGGTGACCTTAAATGAGTGTGAACTTGAACTTAGTGGTTGCTTTAAAGTGAGTAATGAACAGCAATATCCACGTGGTTCATAGTCCGTTACGTTTTCCCTGAAGGATTAACTGATGAGAAACAGTGATGGTTGACACTCAGCTAAGAGGAGCGCAAACGGAAGAAGCTGAAGGGTGGGGATAAAAAAAAACAGCGTGAACCAACTGGAGAACGAGGAAGTCTGCGAGAATGGAGGAATGAGGAGAGGAGGAGACAAAGAAAGAGAAAGAACAAGGAAAGAAGAAGAAGAGACTGCCAAGTAGAAATCAAAGAGGAGAAGAAAAGGAGGATGAGTGAATGGACGATCGACGGAAAGAACATGGTTGATACTTACGGAGGCACCTGGATGCAAGTGGAGAGAGGCAAGCAGAGAGTGATGGAGAGGTAATGTAACGTCAGTTCTGACACATTGTTCTTTGTTATTTTTTCCTTTATTATGACTGAAGAATGGCTGTCATTCTAAATAAGATGTTTATCATACGCAGTCCATCGCAGTCCCTGATTGGACTTCACTGTTAATGTATTCAACGAAGCTCCTGGTTGTTGTGGAGTGTATCAACGTGTTTCGATGGGTCCATGTGCTACTTATTAAAGATAGTACTCGAATTAGGGCTGCCGATTATGGCAAAAAATCATATCACGATTTATTTTTGTCAATAATTGGAATATCACGATTATAAAAACATTATCCATTACTTAGAAAACATCAAATTTCTTGAAAAAAAATGTGAACAGTATGTTTTAACAGCTGATTAC